AATGGAAAAGTATGCATTCTCAAATGAGATGGTCTGTTTTCTATTGGGAATAACGGCTAAATAGACCCTCGAATGGGTTTCGCTATCTGTGGCATGTCTCGAAACATAATGAAAAATCTGTTACATGCCCCGAAACGTAATGTAAAAATCTGCATTTTAAAATGAGATATATTCAGCAGGTTTGTTCTGTTGGGTTTATGGCTAAAGAGACCTTGGAATGGGAACACTATCTGCTACATATCCCGAAACATAATGAAACACCTGTATTCTCAAATGAGATGCAGTTTGTTCTATTGGGAAGGCTGGCTAAACGAACACTGGAATAGGAACGATATCTGTTGAATGTCCCAAAGCATAATGGAAAACTATGCATTCTCAAATGTGATGGTATGTTCTATTGGGAATAATGGTTAAAGAGACCCTAGAATGAAAACACTATCTGTTACGTGTCCTGAAACATAATGAAACACTTGTATTCTCAAATGAGGTGCAAATACATATTTGTTCTATTGGGAATGATGGCTAAACAGACATTGGAATGGGAGAGTTTTTGTTAAATGTCCCGAAACATAATGCAAAAGTATGCATTCTCAAATGGGGTCTTTTCTATTTGGAAATTGGAATAATGGCTAAAGTGACCCTGGAATGGAAATCTGTTTACATGTCCCGAAACATAATGTTAAAATCTCCATTCGCAAGTGAGATGCAAGCAGATGGTATGTTCTAGTACGAATAATAACTAAACAGACGTGGAATGGGAACACTATCTATTACATATCCCGAAACATAATTAAAGAAATCTGTATTTTCCAATGAGATACAAATACATGGTATGTTCTGTTGGGAATAATGGCTAAGCAGACCTCGGAATGGGAATACCATCTGTTACATTCCCCGAAACATAAAACCAAAAAACTGGAAGTGGTACCATCATCATCACCATCATTGGCATCATGCAATTACTCTTGTAATTCCTTGATTGAATATAATTCAAGATACATTCTTCCTTTCAATTGATCAAAGCTCTGTTGTACAGGTGAACCATGAGATCCAGAGACACTGACATCACAATTACAGCTGAAAAGCATTTGGTGACCATCAGACTCTGGCATTTTGTTTTGTGGCCTATTGGGATTTTGTGATTTTTCCAATTATGATACATGTTGTTCCTATTAGTTGCTTACTGTTTTTGTTTCATGCAGGTTGTGGATTGTTACTGGGGACACTAGTTTCGCTTACCAATTACATGTCGCTGCCCTTGAAGGTAAAGTTTTATTTGGAGATGCTCTTTGAACTTTGTTGGGTTGTGATCGATATTAGTAGACAAACATTTCTTGCATATTCTTGAAGACTGCTAGTGTGATTGTTGCCTGTGTTTTTAGTTGGATTTACCTTTTTGATTGATCATAAGAATGGCTTTAAACTCACATGCTATAGCAGTTTGTTCTTTTGTGAGCGTGTTTGTGTTTACTGATACCACCAGTTCATAGTCAACAGAGTTAGATAGCTTTATCTGTTAAATATATTGGGCTACGTGAAGATGTAGTGGATAATGGATATTCTTGAAGCTGATAGACATATGTATGTCTTCGTGAAGATGTAGTGAACATATTTATGTCTGACTGCTGAGGTACGTATTTGGATATTGAATCAGACATGTGTCTTGTCAAAAGAGTTCTGAATCTATCAAACATAGGTTTCTGTCCTGTTCTTCCATGTATTGACTTGTGCTTATCTGTTTGTATTTGGATATTGAATCAGACATGTGTCTTGTCAAAAGAGTTCTGAATCTATCTAACATATGGCTAACTGTTATGCATTCCTAGTGATGATTGGAGTCTCTCTCTCGCACGCATTTGTGTGTTTCCTTTGCTATGTGCCTTTCACTCTTCAGGGGGGATCTATATGTGTGTGCCTTGTTGTTGTGATTTTGTTATTTTGGTATGTTATTTTTGCATTGATAGAAGTCGAAAGAGGAATTTGTAAGTGCTCTTCCCTGCTTCTTTTTATACATCGTATGTCTGAATTCGGTATTAAGCAACTCAAGACATGGGATGATGATTGTCAATATGTTTTAATTCATCCCAACATGGAAAGTGGTAATTAAAAGAATATTTAAAATTGGAAATTGGTGTGGCGATTTTACATAACTCATTTTCTTCCTTATCTAAAATTATCACGTGGTTTTTACAGGGGAAATATGTATT